AAAGCTCTGGCATTTTATCAAGGCAGGGTAGTGTAGAAAATTTGGAAAATAAAAGCTCTGGCATTTTATTTGGAAAAAGAAAATTTGGAGAGTAAGTAGTGTAGACCTGTTGAGGAATGGATAAAACTCAATACGGATGAGGTTAGTAGAGGTAATTCAGGGAGGGCAAGTTGTGATGGTGTGCTAAGGAATCATGAAAGAGAGTGCGTGTGGGGTTTCACGATGGATGTTGGGTGGTGCTCGGCTCTGGTGGTTGAAGGATAGGGTTTGTATAAGGGATTACTTTTAGCTTGGGAGTATGGATTTTGAAAAGTGTAAGCGGTGGTTGACTCACTAGAACTAGTGAATCATTTGAAGGGGAAGATGAAAGCTGATACCTTGGTTGATAGACATATGGTAGAGATTGAAAGATTGTTGAGTAGAAGTTGGGAGGTGCGCTTGAGTTATACCTCTCGAGTTGTAAATCTCTGTGCCGATCTTCTCGCAAGGGGAAGTTTGGATTTGCAAATCTCATATTGTGTATGGGATGAGGTGCCTTCGTGGGTTGAAGAGACAGTGTGGCTGGAGAAGGAAAGGTTGAAGACTGCGTTTGATCCTAGTTGAGTTCGCTTTTGTGTTTGATCCTCTGTTTTGTTCCATTCCTATTTCAAATTTTTGCTTTTGTTTTGGGCTTGACTTTGTCTAGCCTTGCATGAGCTGTAGGCCTTGGGCCTCTTTTTCTTACCAAAAAAAATAAAAATAGATTTTGTTTAGTAAAGTATTGGGATTGCTTGAGAAAGCCAGTGATTGAAGAAGCCCACGTCACCTGTAAAATCTAATGTACGAAGAAGGAAAGAAGAACCTAACATCAAAAGGAGCCTAATGTAAATAATAAAATATCAACAATTTCGAAACAAGCTTTTCACTTTTTTAATTTATTACATGAATTTAAAAATATTAAAAATAATGATGTATTAATAAATTAAATTTATATTACATTTGGCTTAACTACCAAATATAATGAATTAATGACCATAATTTTCAACCCAAAAAAATCTATAATGACCATATTTTTATTTTTTTTACAACATGATATTAATTTGAGTATTTGACTTTGTGTGTTTCCGCCAGCTGACATTTTGCTTTGAACCAAGGCCATGAGTGTGCAATTACAATCAAACTAAATCTTTATCGCCCAAAAAAAAAAAAAACCAAACTCAACTTTTTTTATTTTCTCTTTTTTAGACACCTCTTTTTTCTTAAAATAAATTAAAAATAAAGAAAGAAAGAAAATGGGACTCATTTTTGTTCATAATTTTTAAATTATTAATAAATAAATAATCCGTAAAATTTGATCAACAAAAACAAGTAATATACAAAAATAAAAATGTCATAGTACAGTGCACCGTGACTTCACACGTGACCTGTCAGACCAATAGCGTTCAGCGAGAAGCATCGCGGAAGGGTGATAAGATGCGAATGCTAGGTGTCAGTACAAATAATTCGATGAGGTGATCCAACGGTGGAAAAAAATTCAAATGTCGGCAGCCACTTTATATCAGAGCCAGGTTTCGATCCTGGGACCTGTGGGTTATGGGCCCACCACGCTTCCGCTGCGCCACTCTGATTTGTTGACATTAGCTGAACTAAAACATATATTTATTCCAATTAATATACTTCAACCCTTCGCTTTCATCCGTTTGCCCGTTAGCACATTTTCAGAATCCCCAGTTGCTAACGTGAGGGAAAGAACAGGAGGAAATGTAAAAAATGACAAAAACAACGGTCAAAAATGGGGAAAGAAAAAATTTTTCACCTCTCAGAAAAAATTATTTTAAATTAATTCATAAGAGAAACATGTCAAATACGCAAAAATTAAACATAAATTGACACCCCTACGATGAAAGAACCTGAGGGGGGGCAAAAAGGAAAAAGATGGAGGGGCAAAGAAAAATAATAATAAACAGATGAGGGGTAGAAAATCTTGCAATTCAATAATTCGCACAACATTTTTATTTATTTGTTTTTTTACTGGAACCAAATGATCATTATGCTCCATGATCTCAATTTGTAAAGTTTTATGAGTTTTGGTATGGGAATTTGCAAGGCTACTTCTCCAGCTTGGGATTAACAATACTTCAATTAAACTTGATAATATCAGATAATTGTACCAAACATTATGCATATCCTAATTTTAATTTTAAAATGTGGAGGTAACATTAATAGTTAGGGGGCTAAATCTTTTAAAAAAAATATATTATTAATTTAAAATTTTTAACATTTATCATATTGATTTTATATAATATACTTATGCTCTGTCTAGTCCCTTAAACTATAAGATGCTTTTCAAAAATAAAAGTTGATCTAAATTATAAGATGTCCAGTCAAAATATCAAATATTGCTCCATTACATTATCCCTATAATTTTAATGGTTTTTTGTAACTTGATCAAGGTAGGATGAGATTCTCTTTAATTAATATGGGTTATAATTGAAATATTAAAATGTTTTATTTAGTAGGATAAATCTTCTTGTTTTTTTATTTTTTAATAACAAAGTGAAGAACAATTAAGGAAAATAAATATATTATGGGTTTTGGATGATTGACTTTGAAGATCAATTCAATAACAATAAGACATCTAATATTAAGCCTACCTGTGTTAATGGAAACACAAAGTAAACCCTAAGAAAAACTATGATCTTTAGTTAAATTAGAATTTTGAGTCGTATGAAAATTTTAGAATAAGGCACATACTCAACGCAACTGCAGATAAAATAATTATTAATTAACCTCTTATTGAAAGATGAACAATGAGTCAGTGAAAATTTATTTATAATAAAACCCAAAACACTGGCTTGAGTCTTGACATTTTGAAACAAAGGAGATAACCTGTCATTGTGTGATTATGTGTCATGGAAAAATTATCACTAAGATCAAGAAATTACATTAGTTATTTTCTAAATTTAAAATTCCTTCATTTATGAAATACTTTAGTCAGTTTCTAGAACAGGTTCTATAAAAACATATCACAAATATTATAACCAAAAAATAAAAAATATATGAGAACATCAATTTATATTTATTTAAAATAAAAAACATTAAATGGAAAATTTCCCAGTTTTTACTTTCCTTTTAAAAAAGCCAAAAAAGAAAGAAAAGCCCTTGTGAGCAATACGACGCACATGATGTGACGTGTCAACGCAATACCGTATCTGGAGGGGTGATAAAATCATAGAAAGCGGATGTCATATGTCAGCACAAATACCGTTGGATGATATGTGGAATCCAGCAGATCTGACGGTGGAAAAAATTAAAGCATCGGAAGCCACTCTTTATCAGAGCCAGGTTTCGATCCTGGGACCTGTGGGTTATGGGCCCACCACGCTTCCGCTGCGCCACTCTGATTTTTTTGAAATATGTTTAAAAATTTTAATATAAAACAAAAACTTTCTGACGTTGTCGCCACAACGCAACGTCGCTTTCCTTCGTTTTCCCGTTAACATTTTGCCGAGCAAATGGTACAGCTTCAGATTACTGGCTCCCTACGGAAGAGAGAAGAAAGAAGGAAAACGACATGAGAAAGTGGAGGGAGAAAAAAATGTTTTTACCTTTCAATGAATTTCTTTCCGACCAATTCACAAATTAAAAGGCCTAAAAAAAAAAATGGAGGGAGATGATAAAAGAGCTGGGATGAGTTTTCAGAATTGTTGAATTTGGTAGAATGCAAATTTATGTTGTTATATGTTATATCCATCCGAATTTATGCATGAGATTTTTGGAGTGATTTGGTTTATTAAAATAAAAGACATTTTGACAAAAATAAAATTTTATTAATGATGATTTTTTATGTATAAAAAATAATATTTTTTAATATTATCCCTCATTACTTAGCTTCAAAAATAAATTTATTTTCTTTTTTTAATTAACGAAGATTATTTTTAAAAGTTTATAAAAAATTTAAAATTGTAAATTATATTTGATAAATCTTATTGACATTTATAATTTTGTTTTTAAAAAATAACATTGACACGAAGTACCTTTGTTTTGTTTTACTCCGTTGGGAGGTTTCGTCCATGATTTTCATGCGAATTATTATTTTGACCGCCCCGGTAAAATTAGGATAAGCAATGAAGCATATAGTGTACTATCACACCACCAGGGCTTTTAAAATAGCCGTATTAACTTATTTTTAAATTAGGATAAACAATTAAGCATATTGTTTCATCATAAATGCCCCATATGCTTGTCTGTCTGTCTATCCTGGATTACATTGAGCATATTTTATTAGAGTTAGATTAAATTTAAATCCTAACTCAAGGAATGAGCATATATCTTTTGTTTTCACAGGTATTTTATTATTAAAAGTAATTTTATTTGAAGTAAATGGTGAACTATATTTTCAAGAAAAAAAATAATTTAATTTATAAAATTAAAAATCATGATTCATAAAATTTTTAAAAATATAATAATTTTCACATACAAGTATATAATATTAAATTTTATTATACTTATCAAAAAAAATTAATTTATTTTAATTTTAATTTTTTTCATGCATTTTCATTAGAGATCCAAATATGAGCTTGACTCCTACAAAAATTTGAACACAATTTTACTACATTATAAAGAATTAACTTCTTCACCCGACTATCTTAGTGAAGCGCACATTTCAGTACAACCCTTAAATTCTTTTTTTTAAAATAAAAACTTGTACTTTTTAGCCAATAAGATGATTCTTTTTATCAAAAGAAAAAAATAAAACAAGGAGGTGCAATCGCATAAAAATGAAAGACACACAGAGCAGCCATTAAGAAAAACTAATGATCCTTAGAAAAGCTGAACCTTCTAAGGCACGTCACATAGCAACTTAATTTTACCAATAATCAATATGCTGCTTTTTCATGCAGTTATTCAAGTATAAGATATTTTTGGGGCAGCAAAACTCCAAAACTATAATTCTCTTGAACAACTAAATCAATTATCAATAACACTACTCAAAATTCAGCTAATCATTTCTCACAACGAAAATTATAACACCTAAACTCAACCTCAAAATTAACTCCAGAGTGACAAAACAGTTTATCCACAACAGCTAAAAAATTACACTCTAATTTTCTCCTTCAGACAACCCCCCAAAAAAGGTATACATTATATCTAAAATTTTCACTTCTGCTGCAAGAAAAACGAAAATAAGTAAATCTGTGCAAAGCATAAGCTTCCTATCACGTAAGATGCTTTACCATGCGCTAAACTTCCACAGCATTATTGTCAAATAATTTAGTCTGCTCCACCATGAAATTTGAACAAAGACTGTCATCAAGAAATTCAAATGAACTATAATGGGCGTCCGTAGTGTCAAAAATTATTACTACTTCTTTTTTCCTCTTAAATTTCTAATATGTTATGAATTCGAGCCTCATCAATAAGTGGTCTCAGTATCAGCAGCCAAAGGTTCCATATGCACTGTCAAATTGTATATATTCCAGCCGAGTAGCAATGATGTATCTTCTGCTACGGGTACAGTTATCAGAGTGCTGCCCATAAGACTCTTAAAGACACCATGTTTACATTCATATATGTCAGTGATCAAGAGCACTTCGAATGGAAAGTGGAGGGTCTATCACTCTGCCTCTGGATATAAGATCGTGGTTTAAGAATAAAACAATAACAGTTATATCATCGTGAAAATGGCGTCGAACCTTCTTGTCAATCTTGCGGAGGTCTGAGTACCGCATTTCTCGCTTCCTTGCCGCTTCTTGGAGGGCAGCCTTGATAAGTCTCTTGGCACTACCCTGCATTAACAGAAATTACAAGCACCATAACTTCGAGATAGGCAATATTGGCAATGGACTTACTCAGGACTACAATGCCAATGCACAGCCAAAGAACAAAATGATCCCCCCCAATTTCCACCTATTGACCCACCACTTTTCTTCTAGAACAATAACAAGCCAGCAATATTCTGAATTGCAGTTACAGATTTTACATGTATCAGGCTTCTCAAGTCTTACATGCTCCCCAGCCTTTAAAGAATCATGTGTTGCTGAAACACATAATGGCTTTCATGATTCCTCTTTTTCAGTGTAAAGAAAAGAGAGAAAAGAGGGGAGAAGGCAGTGACCTAGAAATCAACATATGTGGTGTTCATAGACACCTTAACAACTTTATGTGATCTTTCCACCCATGAAACTTGCAATGGGGCTGCCGAAATAGTGGAGAACAACGGTCTCCATTGATAGTCCCCTCTCCCAAAAAAGAACAACTTGTAAACGCAGTAGGTAACTGAGAGCAAAATCAACATGGAAGTAGACTTGATGAACACATTATCACATTATTGGCAGCTGTATTGACCAAAGCAAAAATTCAAACTACGAATCTAGAAGCAAAAATTCAAACTATGAATCTAGCAACTTCTTGATTAACGATCAGCCTATCACTTAAAAAACTAAGTAACATACAGGGACAATGAACGTGCATCACTTGTGCTTATCAAAAAGGAAAAACATTGTATAGCTTGTCAAGCTATGCCTTTGAAAATTACTGAAAGAAGTCTTTTCACAACTATTACACTAGCCCTAATCAGCCTAAATCAATGATCTTTGATGACAAGTTACAACACATCAACTACAGAGCATGATAGGAAGTAAAGATGAACTTTCAGACAAGGCCAGACCATATAAATCATGTAAAGAAAATTTATTTCCTGCAACTATCACTTGATCGAAGGACACAAGCTTAACCTCAGATAGCTCATTATGTTGCTCTTGACGCAATCAATGGGTTCAATAAAGTGCAAAGCACATTAAAGACAAAACATTACGGCCATTAAGAACGCATGTGAACAAACAATAAACTAAGTAATATTGAGTGCAGACATGTGTACAATGAGAAAACCAAAATACAAGAGACCAGAATTTTACCGGCCGTGGATTGCTCTGGACAATATCCACTGCTTTTTCATTACTCAAGTGCTCCCATAAACCATCTGATGCAAATATAAGGAAGGCATCGCTGGGTTGGAGAGAATGAGAAAGAATTGTTGGACTAGCAGTCAAGATAGGCATGTTCATTGGCTCTGGAAGTCTGAATCTTGGATTGATGGGTTCCCGGTTGAACTGCGCATGTTTCATATATACGTCACCTATAGACCTGGAAACCTGCACCAAATACAAACATAGAAGAGGCAAAAACGGTAAGGTAATCAATTTGGAGAGTGGAAAGCAAAACTGACAAATAAGATTACAGTTGCAAGAGTTATTCCAGACATGCGAACCTAAAACTAACAATACATACAATTTGATGCGTCAAATCAAACAAGGAGAGAAATAAAAATACATTGCTAATATAAGACAGGTCTACAGCATAGATTGCATACAAACATATAGAAATATATCTTTAAATATAAGTTGAAATCATATCCAGCAATGGCAGGGGACCAGAGAACATATCACCAAAACTTTAGGAAAAATAAACAGAGGAAGGAAAGGGATAATTAAATGAAAGAAAGAAAGAAATAGACTAAGAAATGGACACATAAGTTCTTAAAAATTCTAATTAGGTCATTGGTCATAACTGGAACACATAAATAATATATATGCATATTGTAGTCCATGGAAAGTAAACAAACTGACAGAATTGTCTCTAGTCTTTAGATACATGTAGACTTCAAAATAAATACCCGCCGCCCATACCCCATACTTTTTGACGATAAGAAGAATATTACCTAACGGTATGTGTTGATTAGCTTCTAAACCTACTACCTATCACCTAATTTTGATATCCAAGAAGATAAGTAACCAATATTTGTTTGACCACAGGAAAACCAATCCTTTAAAGGGCAGAAGTACATAGAATCACCTGAATAATGCCTTTGACTCTCCAAACTCCATGTTTGAGGACAACAATTTGAGGATCATGCGGATGTAATTCTTTCAGTTCCTGTCTGATTGCATCAAGATTTGCATTATGTTCAGTAGATAGCTGAATTGCGGCAATACCTCCAGTGTTGCCAACTTTCTTACCCAACACAACACGGGAATCTCCAACATTTGCCACAAAGAGGGTCTGCTGAAATATCACTCCAACTAGACAACACGTCCCAGTAGTTGCAATCTGAGGTTGTGTATTCCATGATTCTGACACGAGAGAAGTAAATCCCTCTTCTGTTTGAAGAAATGCTCTATGAATAGTCTCAGCAGTCACGGCTCCCTGTGACTGAGCGGCTATTGCTGCATAAAGATGAAGTCTAAGACGGCTAACATAAGAAGGGATCCTTTATAAACAGAAAAAGATGATCACTGAGTCGAATTCTAACACCCTTTTGTCCAACCATACTCCTAAAAGGAACAACAATTATAGGCAGAACGATAAAAAAAAAATTATTGGCCTTCAAACCAGAGGAGGGGTCCAAAAGGGTCCAAAACTGACTAAACTTGAGACTTTTCGAGATAACCAATCGCCATCCTGTTCCCACTTCTCAATGGATCGAAGATAAAAAAATAAAAAAAGCATTCAAAAAACGGGAGAAAAATAAGAAATTCAATGAACGTTTGTAGGAAATAGTAACTATCATTCAGATTGAACGTCTGAACTGTTCTCGATTCTACAAAATCTCACACTCAAAAGACCGATGAAAAGCATAACTTTTGGGGGGGAAAGTTTGGGAAAAGTGAATTGATGAAAATCACAAATAAAAGTTCCCACCCGTGAATGTAACGAAACAACAAGAACTAAAACGTGGCGAATTGAATGCCACAGGGACCAGAAGTAAATCAGGCCTACATAGCAAGAGTTAAAAGACGATTCAGAATCAAGAACCTTGAAAGTTCCGAAACAAGTGATCGCAAACATATCGAGATGCATCGGGTCCTCCATGACCATCGTATACGCCCACGAAGGTGCCCAGAGGACCAGACTCGATCTGGCTCTGGTCTTCGAGAACGTGATTCGCCTGAACCACGGCCATCGAAAATCGCCGGAACCATACTTGCCTAAGTCTCGGAACCAGAGCAAGCCGTCTTTCCCTTCTCTACAGCCCGCACCACCCCCGAAAGTGCTCCCAACAGCTCCAATAGCATCAGCACCGCGCCCGAATGGCTTCCAACAGAGAGAGAACAGATTCATCAATGCCTGAAGCATCCCACATCTCAGAACCCTAACCCTAGCCCCAGCTCCGGAACCCACCCAGGTCTGAAGCAACGATCTGGGGAAGAGAGAGAACGGAGAAGTGGGTGATTATGAAGGAAGGGACAAGAAGAGGGGGAGAAAGGTGCGCCCGGCGCACGATAAGCAGGAGGCGCAGTATAAGCAGGAGGTGATGGCGGACGGGGCGTGTTCGGTTGTAGAGGAACAGAGCCGGCTAGCCGTATTGAAGAGAGGGGAAGGTGTGGGGAAGCTCTGCTTCAGTAGTGTTCTTTTCAATGTCTTCTCCTTTTTTTTTTTTCTTTTTTTAATTTTGTACAGTACAATTATTTTTCTATTAAAATAATCATGTTCCACGTAGAAACATAGTGGAATTTGGCGCAATCAGAAAATTTGCTTCTGGCCTACATAAAATCATCTTTTTGATCAAGATGTCTTCATGTTCTTATAAGGCTTTAATAACTATAGAACTCAGTAATGTGGTTCTAATGGCTCTATTTTCCTCCCTTTTATTTTCTTTAGTTATCTCGTTGGTTCTGTTTTAATATTAAACTTGCAGCTATTTCTTATTTGATAATATACTCATCTTTTTACCAAAAAAAAAAAAATAGAACGCAGTCAACTTACATCTTTTAATAGAGATTTGAACATTGACTCATAAGATTGGTGGGAATTACTCACTTTTCCTAAATTCGACGTGTTAGTATTTTACATTTTCTTTGTTTATTAATGGAAACTCATTTTTCTACCCTCATGATTTTATGAAATCTACGGCTTGTTATGTTATTTTGGAATTCTTTTAGAATTGATTTTTTTGACGATTTTTTTTTATATAACAAGTTAGTTGATTTGGTGAGATTTAAACATTGTGTGGGCAGCTTTTCCAAAAATATTTTCTGCATATACACAGATTCATTCATCTTGATTATGTTTTTTCTTCCTTGACCGTTTGATTATGGTTGAAGTTAAGTGCGAACATGTGTGTATCTGTGTAAGCTTTTTTATGATGTGATTCCTAACATAATTTCAGTTACTTGATGCTCTCAAAATTTTAGATTTAAGTCCTTTTCAGGTTTTGGATTAAATATACATCTTTCCTGTCAAAGTCTTAATTAAAAAAATGTACTAGCATATGTCTTGATATTTGATGCTCTCTTTGTTCTAATAATGAAATTTCATTGCATAAAAAAAAATAATAATGAAACTCACATGCCAATGTTAGCAACTAAAAATGTACTTTACAAAATTTAAAAACTAAAAGAAAAAATTACCTAAAATTAGAGGATGAAATATATACTTTTGTATTAAATATATAGCATATGTTTATCAACAAATCAAAGTTTAATTAAAAAAATAAGTATGGACATATCTCAATGTATATCTTGATATATATTTGACGCTTCCTTGTCCTAATGTCAGTTAAAGGTGTATATATGAGTTAAAAATTATCGACATAATACATTAAAATAATATTTTGTGTTAATCTAATGGATTTTAAAATTTTTAACCACTCGTATTAGCTCTGATAAAGTTTGACACTGGAGATTGATGATTATAACTATATTGAGTCTTGTTACGTCTATCAATTTTTTGGGTCAATATGTCAGTTTCATTTCAAAAAGCAAAATAGAAAATACACATACTCAATTAATTCTGTATTGTAAGATATTTTGACAAATTCACATCCTCTAATAAAACAGTCACTATTTGTCGGGAAAAAATAAATAAATAAAACAGTCACTATTAATCTATTGTCGTTAATTATATTTATCTTTATTTAATATATTGTCTCCACAATAAATAAAAAATTTTCCATAGTCCTTGAGGATTTTTTTAAAAAAAGCTATTAATTAATCTTTGAAAATCATAAAATATCTTGTATTTTTTAACAAGATAATTCGTAAAAATACTTCATAATACTAAATGAATGGAGTATATATAAGGAAAAATGAATTAGGCCAACTTCTAAGAATAGGAAAGGTTCCTAATTCTTTTTCCAAGACCTCTATAGTGGCGAAACATACACTATATTTATGAATTTTTCCATCCACTAGTTTCTAAAATGCAATTATTTATTTTTGATAATATAAATAATATTAAGTTGTTTTTTGAGGTAAGCTCACAAGCAACCATGGACATTGGCATCACTGCCTTTGGGTAGACAAGAAGGACATTATTGGATGTGGTCCCATAAAATCTTGCATCCTTGTTGGTAATAGTAGTTGTGGAAATAATAGTAGGAATAATATTAATATTAATATAATGTTGGACATAAGTTTCCAAAATCATTGCTTGGATTTCACTTTTTTTTTTGACCTGAAGATTTAACTTAGGCTGTGTTTGGATGAATGAATTTAAGTTGAGAATTTAAATTTAAATATCATATTTAAAATCTCACATTTAAAATTCACAAACTTTAAATTATTTATTTGGATGATATAAAAAAATTCAAATTACAATATTAAAATCCTAAAATAAAATTTTATATTTTATATTTGAATTTAAAAGAAACTTGAAAGATTAGTCAAACTTGACGATTTGAATAGCCAACTTCCAATGGGATCAAACAAACAAAGCAAACTAGGACTACCTCTGACTTCCACCAGGATTGGACCGACGGTGGAAATAGGGATGGGACGATGACAACAAGGACAGGACAGCCAACTACCACCAAGACTAGACAAATGACGACGGGGACCAGGCAGCTGACTTTCATTGAGACCAGACCAACAATTACAACAAGTACTAGACAGCTGACTTCTACTAAGATCGGATGGCCGACTTTTACTAAGATCGTACTAACTCCAATGATGAGGATCGAACCGGACCGACGACAATGACAACTATACTGAAGGGATGGCAACAAAAGGCAATTGTCCGATCCTCGCCAAGTGGAAGTTGTACTTTTGGTCCTCCTCATCATAGTAGGTTCAGTCTTGGTGAAAGTTGGCTGTCCAATTCCTGTTGCTGTCATTGATCCAGTGTCGAAAGAAGTCAAAAGTTCGATCCCCATCGTAGTTGTTGATTTGGTCTCAATGAAAGTCAGTTATCTAGTCCCCATCATTGTTGTTGGTTTGGTTCCTGTGGAAGTCGACTGTCCCGTCTTGGTCAACGGTGGCAGTTTGTTTCTGTCAACTTTAATGGTTTGATCTAATATCATTAGCAAGTTGATCAAGCCTTCATGCATTTGAGTTAAATTATAAAAGAGCTTGAATTAGGATTTGAAATAATAAGGGTTCAGAAAGAATTTCAAGCTACAAAAAGATTAAGAAAGAACTAAGTTTTGAATTTAGGTCAAATTCAAATATCTGCATTTTTAATTATCTAAACAATAGATTTTGCTCAAATTCAAATCTAAATTCATATGCATCCAAACATAATATTGGTTTAGAGTTTAAGCATTAATGCTTAAAGAAGATTTTAAGAAGCTCAGTAACTCAAGAGAAGTACTCAAATTGGACTTACATATTAGTTCAAAATTTAATTCGAAGTTGATGTTTTGGGGGGGGGGAAATCAATATAACTATTCATAATATAAAACTTTATCAAGTAATGACCTTAAGCACGATGTTTGAGACATGAATTCTTGTAAGATATTTTTGAAAGAGTTATTCTCTTTAGATTGGATAATACTCAATTTAACCCCATCGTATCATATACTTCTTTCATTAAAAAATATAAAATAATTTTTATGAGTTGTGTGTTTAAAAATATAAGGCATTTTTAATATTTTAAGGGTAATTAATGCATTTTTTCCAAAAGCAATCTTAATAAATAAATTGTTTAATATTTATTTCTAAGTGACCACTCTATTAAAAAAAAGTATATATGGAAATATAATATTAGTTGAAAGACAACTAACTAAATTATTAAAGATGTAAAATTTAATTAAAAATATTTTATATTTTTTAATAAAAAAAGTATTCGCTAATGTATAAAAAGATAAATAGCACAATTCATTCTTTGTGTTACATACATATGCAACTCACAGTACTAACACTAGCTTAGATTAATGAATTATTAAATATAAAATTCTAACAAGACACACAACCCAACGTCAGGAATACAGCTATTTAAATATAAATATATTATAAAAATAAAAATATTAAAACCATGTACATGTATTATTCATAATTTCTCATCAATTTAAAAAATGGCTTTTATTCTGGCTTAGTTAGGTGCCTTGGCAAACCCTGCACAATGTAACATCCTGATTATCATATAATAAAGAAATTGTGGAATTTAGGTTTTGAGGAAAAAAATGATAATAATAGGAATTTATATTATTTGAGGTTATTTAAAAATAATATTATGATTAGATATTTAATTATGAATTTAAAAATTTAAATTTAAAACCATATAAGCAATATTTAGTTAAGATATAATACATAAATAATTTTTTTATATGTGTGTTAAAAAAAGAGAAGGTAGAAGGAACCAAAAAAGGGGTGGAAGGTTGTTGTTTCTAAGTCCCACATTGGTTAGATAAGGGAAGAGAAGAGGTGCCTTTATGTATAAAAAGGAGGGGGTGTGTGCATTAGGAAGCATGAGAGGCTAAGATGCAATTTAGAGGAAATTGCAACTTTTGGCCCAAAAGTTTGAATAATTAAATTCAAACCTATAGTTTTTTTTAATATAATTTTGGGACTCACAATCCCATTTTTATATTATTTTTCTCTCTACCTCTCACGTTGCTCGGCGTTTTCTCGCAAGGGGGGATTATTTTCTTTTTCTTCAGGTATGTTCTAACTTTCCTGTTTAGATTAACATTTAAAAATTTATTTAATTACAAAATTAATTTTATAGTTATTTTCTAAATAATATTAGCTTTCTAGTGATATGATTATTTTGTAGGATAGAGTAAATATTTTGATTAGAATTTTTCTATAGGATAGTTAATCTGATGATATGATGGATTAAAAATATAGGTTAAAACTCTTAGGGATATAATAAATATTATAGAATATTTTCTTGAGGTTGAAACTCATGTTTAAGAATTTTTGAGTTAAAATCTAGATCTATATGGTTGAATTTATGTGGAATCTGAGATGTAGGGATAAACCTATTATTATTAAATATTTATTTAAGTATGAATAGGTATTTTTGAGGTTATAGAAAGGTAATTTGAGGCTTCAGGATAATTTTAAAATTTAATTTATTTTTGGACGAATTTTTAGAATATAAAAGGATGAAATTGTGATACTAGAAGTGATTTGAGGATAAAAAAAATAGTTTATTAGGGTACGAGA